CTACAACTTTTATATTTACAGAAATTCTCAGAATTTTAATCTTGCGTTTTTAATCTTGAGATCAGCAAACTTTGTCTATTTAATTAGGTACTAAAAACTCATGAACACCCATTTACTTTTCACTTGAATCGTTAGTTAATTTGACCACAAAATCAATTAAAAGGGTGACCTACAATAATATTGGGTTGTTTAGCGTGACCTCCATCCCTAACATGTCAAAATGATGAGGTTATACGTGGGAGGATCCAAAAGTAACAGGAATTGGGCTGCGGTGGGAAAGGAGAGTAGGAAAAACTATTGTAATGCTTAAAACTGCTTATGGGGATGCTGCTCTAAGTAAAACCACTCGTAGAGTGGTTTTCAAGTTTTAAAAATGGAGAAATGTCAATTGAAGACCAACCCCATGCAGGACACCCCTCAACATCAAGAAGTGACGAAAATGTTGACAAAATCAAAGCTGTCGTTCGTGATGACTGTTACTGAACCATTGATTAACTTAGTGAGATCTCAGTAATATCATGGAGTTCAATCCAGAGGATTTTATCCGAAGATTTACACATGAGAAGAGTTGCAGAGAAGTTTATCCCTCGCTCTCTCACAGGGAGCGTTGACTTCAGGAATGTTTTGAACTCCAAAATCAACTCAGAGGATCCTGCATTTTTTTCAAGGCAGATGCTGGTGATAAATCGTGGTGCTATGGATACGACCCTGAAACAAAGCAGCAGTCAAGCCAGTGGAAGACAGTTGGCTCTTCTCATCCCTAAAAAGCTCGCCACGTGAAGTTCATTCTGCTACGTCAAACTATAAACCAGAAGTTCTACTTGGAGGTTTCAAAAAGATTGAGGGAGAGAATCCGGAAGAAAAGGACAGATCTTTGGAACTCAGACGATTCTTCCATCATGACAATGCGCTGGCCCACACCGCTCTCTCTCCGTAAAGCAGTTTTTGACCAAAAACAGCATGACAGGGATTGTTCACCCTCCCCCCCCTTACTCATCGGATCTAGCCCCCCTGTGATTTCTTTTTGTTTCCAAGACCCAAAAATAGCTCAAAATATGCATAAAGAACATCCCGATAAGTGAATTTAAAAATGTTTTGAACTATGGAAGGATCATTTGGAGAGCTGCATTGTGGTCAACGGAGAAGGCGATCAACATTTGGTGTAAAAACATTAAAAATTAAAGCAGTTATGACAAAATTCCTGTGTTTTTTTTGGTCCTCCCTCGTATAGGTCAAGCAAATATTTTTGTAGACCACCTTTTTATCAATTTAGTGATCAAATTATCTCACTATTCAAATGGAAAGCAAATGGGTTAATTAAATGAGAAAACGCTCTATGTCTGAGAATTTCCATAGATAAAAAATTTGTAGGTTGCGATAAAGATAAAGCCATTTACTAAGATTCAGGCAGATGTTAATAATTGGATAAAAATGGATCTGTACCATGGACTAGAAGGGTAAAAATGTGGCAGTTGAGCATGATCTTGCCCCAAACACCTCCCACCACAACCATTGGCCTTCAAACCTTACTTCTTTTCAATGTACTCAACCCAAGATCTTTTATTGGTTGAAGTGATTTACAGATTAGGTTAGGTACCCACAATAAATTTGGTTACAGGCTATCTATATTGAATACTGTTAGTCTGTTTAAATATTTCACTAGAATATAGAATAGTTCAGAAAAATATTTAAGATGAAGAGTTTAAGAGAACGAGAAACCTTTTCAAAAGTGTCAGAACTTGATTTCATGAATGAGTGGTATGAGTCCACAATGAAGACTCAAAATTATCCAAACCACTCATGTCAATTGATTCTTATTTTACAAGTCCATACTCTTTTTTACTTTCAGTTACCTCTATATGTAATATATATTATGGGTAAGTATTGCGATCATAAAAATTTTCGAATCTGAGTTTTTAACGGAAATACATGTTTTGAGGTCTCCTGAGTCCAAATAACGAAGTCCCACAAAATGATCTGTGAGGGTGCGTGTATATGTATAATAAAGTGAAATTGCATAATTAAGGATTTTATATGCCTCAGATGTTACAGCAACTTTTTTCTTAAAATGGCTCTAACAATTTTGATTAAACTCGGTGTATCATTGTATTATTAAGTGGTCTTTAATATCATTTAGATGTTATCCCCATTGATGTCATTTTACAGGACTTAAATGACCAAAGTCTTCCTCTTAAGGATTTGTAATATAGTTTATTTAAAAAAAAAATAAATTTATCAAAATCATTTGATAAATTTTCCTTTTGTGAAATCCGAACATTATCCACTTACAATTAGTGTGACAACTTTTAAACTATCCTTGGCAGACAATGAAAATCTCATAATTTCATTTTAATACACTTTACTATGGAAAATAACAGTTTAATAACTAATAGTTCTACAATCCATAATCATTAATATAGATGTGTTATCTGTAACCTTTAAGCATTACCTCCGTTTAAAATGCACTTCGAACATTTTATAATAGCCCAACATTGTCCGAAAATAATTTCGATTCGAAGTAGAGAGGTAAGTGAAAGTTGTGTAATGCGGACATTAGATTTTTTAAACATAAATAACAAGCTTCTGATAGATTTTCCTTACCAATTTTTATGAGTATGTAAGTAGGTTACTATGATATAACTACTTTTTTTTTAAATCTAGATCACAGTGGCTACCAGAAAGTTAAAATGAAATTACCTGACATTTCCCTATTTAATGATAGTTTTACCTGAGCAATATGTCTGGGTACACAAATATTAAAAATGTATAATGTTTAATTCTCTTCAATATATTTATGACACTCAACTATCAAAACTAAATTTATTTACTATACATGAATGAAAATAGACTACAAAAAGATTGGGGTAAAAAACATTCAGTCTTTTAAATAAAAAATATAATGTTTTATTTTTATTTTGAAAAACTAAAGTTTTAGTAATTTATTTTTGTCGCCTTTATTTTATTGTGATAAACTAAGAGGAAGTTTAACTAATAGTGAAAATTCCCTGACTTTTAATTTTCCCAGGTCAGTTGCCACCCTGTAGATTATTCTAAAGTCCAAAAAAAAAAAAAACTAATTCGCTCATTTTTTTAATAGAATCTGAAAAAATGTCTGCAGAAAGTGAGATAAATATGAATTCCTCAGTAAAAACACGCAATGAATCTGATTCCAAAAACAAACCTTCACACTAAAAAAAAAAAAAGTTTGAAAATAATATTACTTCATCAACACTAGCCTTGAAGGAGTGTGATACAAGTATTTTTAAAAAACAATTCATTTTAAATTTTTTAAACCTTTTTATTCATATGAAAATTAAAAACAAATTTATTTTATTGTAAAGAAAAGTTTATTCTTTATAGTACAATTTTAATTCCTTATTTAATCATGATTAGGGTTCACTCTGGAAATAACCAAATTAATTTAAAATACGTAGTTAATTAATTTAAGTACTTTTAAAACACCATAAGAGAATAAGGTTTATTACTTCAAGTGCGGAAAGCAAAATTTTAATGATATAATTAAAAAGAAGTAATTCTGCTCTGATCATGTGTGATTGTATGTATAATTGAGCCTTTCAGTCGACGGAATGTCCATTATTATTAATTTTGTTGATATTTTTAGTGAGTAAATTGATACCTTTATTCACAATTCTATATTTTAAAACTGCAATCACCTACTTTGGAATCAACTTGCTCACTGTCTGTACAGATATTACTAATTGTCCCTACTAGAAACAATATCGCTAAAATGACCACTCAAAAATATAGATATTGGAGTTCTGTCAACTGAAAGGCTCAATTAATAAAAACACATCTTTAATAGTATAAATATGGTATATGGACTCTTTTTCATTCTTAAGCTTTAATTTATCAAAGGAAATTAGGTAAACAAAAAATGACAAAAATGCGATAGGAGAGGAGAGTTTTTATTCAATAATAAGAATTACAAATACATATATACAATTAATAAGATATACAACTTTCAAAATAATATAAAAAGTAAATTTGCAATAAACTAACAGAAAAGAAATTTAAAAAAACAAACAAAATAATAATAAAATGATCGATTAAAAAATTACACGTAATAATTATCATTAATAAACATTTACAGTTCGGAATGTTTTTCTTAAATGAAATTGTTAAATGTTCAGTTTTAAGAAGAATCTTTTCAAATTCAAAAATTAAATTCCATACAAAAAAGAAAACAAATATTTGAATAATGTAATATTCTGATAATTTTGGTGCGGAATCGTTATCTAAACTCCAAACAAGTAATAAATTACAATAGGTAAGCTTAATTTCGTACACCTAGCAAAGTCGAATAGTTCAAAAAAATTTTTTTTGGGTCCTCTCAAATATCAGGCAATTTTTTTTTATTTTGAAAACCAATTATATACAATTAATAAAAAATAATACATAAAAATTATTAATTTAGTAAAGTGGGTCAAAAGGTAAGTAGGCCGGGGTTTGAGTCTGTGGTTAATGAAAGGGAACGATACAATAACTTCATTACAAGAATTGTTTGGTTTCAAAGAAGCTGCGGTTTCGTTAAAACAATAAATTTAAAGGTAAAATTATCAAAAAACAATAAAATTCGTTATCGATAAAAACAATAAGAATATAAAAAAAAAGAAACAAGAGAGTAATACAAAAGTTTCTTAAACCTAACCCAAATAAGAAATAAATAAATACTGCTAACTATTTAAGAGTATATATTTCTTTATACAATGGTGTTGATATTTACAAAATTAAGTCACTATATCGGCTAGAGACACACACTGGTCGTCGCCTTAACAGTCTTCATTACCCTTCAACTTGGAAACAAAAAAACAAACAAAACAAAACAAATACAAAGCAATGATAAGTCATCACTCAAGTGTTACTTTAAAACAATTTTTCCAAGACATAAATTATTATCCAAATACAGAGGGTTCTGAATTTTGCATAGATAAAAATTGTAAAGTCCAACTTCGCACTATGAATATATATATATATAATATATAAATATATTTATATATTATATACATACATATTACAAAAAGGAAAAAAAAAGTATGAAACATTATAATATTGAAATCGTCCACGGCCTTCCATTTTCAGAACCCCAACGTACTTACCGTCACTTACAGATTAAGATCTGAGCGACCCTTCACCTCACCAGGTACAGAGGTAGCATTATCTATATATAAAAGATACATATATAGATCCCCGAGTGGTGTAACCACCTCAGTCAATCTGAAACAACCAAAGATCGAATGAATTTAAGAAAAAAAAAAAACTTTTATTTTACTATATGACTTACTAAAACTAGTTAAAAACATGACATAATTTAAAAAATCTGGTGCGGTACATGCATCACACAACTTTCACTTGCCACACTCTTCTTAGCAGAAATAGGTATTTTCAGACAAAGGCAAAGTGAAAGTAAAAATTATAAACGCTATATTGATTTATATTTCATTGTGGGTATTTTTATAAGTAACCTTATATATACAAATTTGAATATTTATATCGCTGTAATCTATACAATTAAATATTAAATAATAGCATCTATGAAAACCACATATGCATATTTACATAATATTGTTCTAATCTTTCGGGCGAGCTCGGATTCCTTTGGTTGCTCAATTACAACTATTCTCCGTTACGATTTCTTATTTCTCTTTTAGTTAATTATCAACTTGTTCCATAGTTTATAATAGAGATTAATGTGAAATGATCAAATGTTTCAAATAAAAAAAAAATAAAGGTACTTTAGGGGAAGCTAATATTGAAAGCTTTCAGTTATATAATAATATAGAACCAAAGGAATCAAGCCATAATCCTAGACATTAAAGAAAATGTTCGTACTTATCAAATGCAAATTTAACATGAGTGAAGCCACAAGGCTAACAGAATAAGCACGGAAAATGCAATATACTACCAGAGTTGCAACACTGTTGTAGAGAAGCTAGAGGTAGCTAAGGACTATCTACCTAATTTTGATCGGTGTACCTGTCGCTACATTCATACAGAGCTGAAAGCTGGATATTGACTGACAGGCAGGAGAGCAAAATCACCGCGGTTGAAATGAAATTTTTGCAAAGAAGAGCTGGAAAGGATAGGAGAGACCATGGACGCAACAAGAGGATACGATATGAACTTGAACCCATTGAAGAAGATGGACTATGTTACTGATGGCAGAAGATCTCAAGGATATCGGAGAATATCATAATATTTGGAATATATCTATAGACTTAGCAGATGGAGAGGCAAAGATCTCCATCAGGTCAGGAATCTAGCAGGAAACAGAGAAGTGTGGAATTTGTGGTTGTCCACTCTCCTATGCCGAGAGGCACAAAAGAGTGAAGTGAAAGAAGAAGAAACCAACCGCAAGGCTTAGTTAGTTTGAATATAATATACTTAAGAATTAAAATAGCCTTCATAATAATTATAATCAAGCATATGCATTTTGGCAGCATATCTAACTAGACAATATTTTAAGTAAATATAATATTTACAAGATTTAAACAGTAAATATACACTTACGTTATTCTGATTCCGCATATTTTTATCATAAACAGATAACCTCTTCTTGCATATTGTTAGCTTTCTTATTCTGAAAAAAATTATTATAAAATGTAATTGCTCATATATTATTTTATATATTGTTTATGAGGAAGAGTTATAATGGTAGTAGGTTTTCTAATGGAAAAGCATCTCTTTCATAGGTCTCACGTTTCGGGTAAATGACCCATCATCAAAGACAATTTAATCTGGTAGTTGATATCTCATCCATCTCTTTGTCCTACAATGTATATTGCAACATTTGTCAATGTTCTAATCTTTCGGGTGCGCTCGTATTCCTATGGTTCCTCAATTACAACTATTCTCCGTTACTATCTCTTATTTCTCCTATAGTATTAACTATAAAATTCTTTCATATTTTATATTTAACTATCTCTTTTATAATAGAGATTAATGTGATATGGTCAAATGTTTCAAATAAAAAAAATTAAAGGTACTTTAGGGGAAGCTAATATTGAAAATAAGCCATTAAAGCACCGTTATAGAACATCAATAAGAAAAAAACCTACATAATATTAAAATATGCTTAACTCTACACTGATATAATGAATTTAATCAAAATCGTAGAAGCCGTATTTGAGAAAATAGTAAAAATGTGTTTCATCGATGACCTGTGTAACATCTCAGGTATATAAAAACCTTAAATATGGAATTTAACTTTCATAAAACTTTTTGTTTTTGAGCTGCACTTGGTTACTTGGACTCAGGAGATTTTAAAATGTGTATTTCCGTTTAAAACTCAGATTCGAAAATGTTTACGATCACAATACTGTCCCTTACAATATATTGCATATATATGTAAGTGAAAGTAAAAAATTACCCGTGGAAGAGATGCTTTTCAATTAAAAAACCTGTAAAATGTAAGTGAATAAATATAGTTAAATAATATAAATATAAATAAAAAGTATATAATATAAAGAGGAATAGTTTATAACAAGATAATAACCTCTAAAGTTGTTTTACTTGAGTCAAGTATTTCATGGTGACGATTATGCTCCTCAGCAGATAGTGAGGAATTAGAATCTTCACCGCAAGAAACAACAATCCTGTTCATAGGTGTATCCCCATCCTGGAAAATGAGATTAATTAAAACCATCATTTACACATCATATTTTTACAACCTAAACACTAAATATCATACAATAATTTATAGACTATATTTTTTAAATAAGAAATATATTGATAATCCAGAATGAAAGAGGTATAATTCTAAACTAAAATTTAAATAGAATAAAACGGCATAATTAAAAATTTTAACAGGAATTGTAATGATTAGTCCTCGATACTCACCATTAAAGAGTACGAGTATAAGAGTATGACCATATAGTTGAGATCTACCAGTAAATGTATATAACATTTGTTTCAGGAAAAAAAAAAAAAAATGCTGTAAATTATTTCACAATGTTTTTTTTTGCCAAACAATTATAAATCTAAAGTGACATTACCTTCCTAGTGACAAAGAAAAACAAATCAAAGGTGCTTCCAATTATTAGCCTAAACATTTTTTTTTTCATCATTAGGAATTCGCTAAACAAAAAATAGCATTACCTCAGTAATACATTAAAAAATCCAAAACAAAGGATATAACCTTTGCAGTATAACATATAAAAAAGATCTTGAGACCATATCTTTGCTCTAAATTGTCCGATTTTAAACATTTTTTTAGGATTTCGAAAACCTTTTAATAACCATATACAATATCAACAAAAAAGTGCATATTGTTGAAGTATTTTATATAGATAAATTTAAAGGGCATTGAGAAGAAGACTTTAGCCAAGTTTCACTGAAATAGGTATATTCGTTTTGGCGCTACAGTCTCTAGCAACGCAGGTTTTTCAGCTGTAATCTTGAAAGTTAATAGTAAAAACACTAAGAAGAAATTGTCATTGGCAAGTAGGATAAAGCCACTTTAACTCAATGTACCAACAAGAAACATGAGAATAACAAAGATTAATCTTATGAAGCAATTCATAAGTTTTATGTGGGCGGGGTGGTTACCTCGGTGAACCAAGTGTTGAGAATTTTTTCAAACATAAAAAAAAAATTCTGAGCCGAATATTGGCAACTATTTTACTTTGTATTTACACATGAAAATCCTTTAATTCATAATTAAAATTAATTCCTTTTCCCTGTCAAACTCTGTTACAGAATGTTATTTTTAGCCAATAAAATAACCTATTTGAACTTTGCAAGTTTTATTTCCCTATAATTAGTATTACTAAGGTTTAAGTTAAAATATATTTTTTTATCAAACCAAATATATACTTATATATTTTTTTGTGTCATTATATATTATTAACATAACATTAAATATCAATTAATAAGATCAAAGTTTTAGTATTTGGCTAGTAGATATTTAAGTTTAATATAAAATATCTACCGACTATTTTAGTTTTATAGATCACAAAAATCAACTTCTTTATCCACATAACTCTAAATCAACCCTGATATGTTTGGGATTTCGCTCTTATGAAACTGAACTAGTGTGAAGTTGGTTTCACTATTTTAATTCTATTTAACTATTTTACCACAGATGTATTGATAAATTAAAAATTTGATTATATTTCTACAACTGATACAGGTGAGAATTATTAATATGTATAATTTGTTTTTAAAAGATAATAATAATTTGTTTCATTTTATTATAACATTTAATTTATTAAAATAATGATTTTGGATATCAAAAATTATAAAATAGTGTTAGAAAGATTTAGATGGCGCTGGGTCGAGTTGATTCTTGATCAATTCTAAAAAGTTGAGGCAAGATGAGTGATTTACATAAAGGAAGTGTTCTTAAGGAAGTTAGCATTTTACGAAGAAGGTATCTTAGCTGAGAAGGGTGTACCTGTTATCAGTGTTACTTATTACAGTTACATTGTATTGGTGAAAACAACAATAACGCTGGTAAGGATTATATATTGTAAATTATTGATTGTATTAATTAATAATTGTTAAACTTATTTTGGTTGTTACTTTATTTAAAAGTGCCTGAAAAATGTAATAATTCCTAAACAGTATATACTAATAAATCATAGTTATGAAGTAGCCATACACCAGTTAGATATTAGCTCTCAAATTTTATAAAACTAAATTTTTAAAACATAAAATAACTCAAATATTTTTTGACACACATTATAATAATAATAATATGAAAGACCAAAAGTCCAAAAAGAGGTCGCTGAGTTGAAAAAGAAAGAGTGCCAAAATACGGAAATATTCATTTTTACTTTGCTTAAAAGCCATCTATTCACCTATATATCTTTAGAAAAAAAAAAGATTTTTTTTTTTTTTAATATTTACTATAATAATAATAATTTATTTTAATTCTTGATGAGAATCTGCTACAATTCATAATAAAATTATCAAAAAATGAAGTTTAACTTATTCAAACAAAAAAAGTGATTTAATGTGAGATAGGGGCAGCTTCTTCTTTAAAATTCTATTTCTTCATATTGCAGCACTCTTCTTCCAAGCTAGCAATATATTAATTGTTCGCATATAATAGAAAATTTTCAACACAAAGTCTCTAAAATAACTGTAAACAACAAACCTTTCAATATTTTGCCGATTCAGGCATCATCAGAGCAGGAAAAAACTATTATCACATGTGAGCAGGCAAAATACGACAAATGTCAAAAGTTAGAAAAAGACACATCAATTACATGTTTATTTAAATATTTTTTTACTGTTAATGTAAACGATAGCTGTATTTAGTCTGCAAGTAGGTCTCAGTAAGGTTAGTGGTTCAACAGTATTAAAGATTTGAAGCTTTGTGTTTGCAATTTTCCTACTACATACCTAGTCGGCTGCATATTCTTTGTATAAAAAAAATAAAATAAAATAAAAATAAAAAATGTCATATCTGACTGAAATTCCAGGTTTCATTGAAGTCACCACTGGATTTTATATGGTACAAGAGAACAGACAGTAGGTGTTGTAAGTAACTTCTATTAAAAGTTAATGGACAATGATGACCGATAATCAATTCATTATTTTCAGTTAAATGACGTTAATGCAACATAATTTATGTTATTTAAATTAATTGAAGAAAGAGTCTAATATTGATATAATTATCATTCTCAAATTAAAAAAGATATACTTATATATGAACTAATTACACCAATCCTCCATGAGTATACTGACACCTACTGCCATGCATCTCTATTTAAAAATAATAAAAACACATATTTAGTGCAATGACTTTGAATGAAACAGGGCTATATGATTTTCACTTAAGAGTTTATTATCAGGTAATTAAGGATCACATGCCATTTCAGGAAGTGTTTGGTCTAACTTTTGTTTCTTCTGCAACAAGTCGAGGGATGAATCAGAATGACGCTTTTTAGTAGCATCAAAAATAACCGGCGGAGGCGGTTGAGCTGTCACACCATTTTTACGGATCGGAGGAGATGTACTGTTTCTGGATGCTCCTGCTACCTGTTCATTAATACGCAACTTATAAGTAAAAAATAGACTCATATCAATATCATTTATTATATATAACTAAACTACTAAACTATATTAACCGCGCTACCTAATACAGATTAAATAACTAATTATTTATAACAAAGAAAAAAAATTGTACTCAGAATGAAATTTAAGTTTATTTAAGCAGAATAAATGAAATATAACAAGATTAACTGTGTAAACGATAACTTTATAACAATTGTCTAACTCATAATTTAAGTAAAAACAGTAGTTAATTTCGATAAGGGATTGAATAACTTAAATCAAACTTGTTACAAAACCAAGCCTGAATCCCCTAAATGTAAATTCCATCAAATTAAGATTACAGATTAATTCTCCCAATCAAAATATTAAGCAAAGGGGCAATGATTTATTTAAATATAAGTAGTAACATTTTTTTTTAAAAAGAAGCTAAATATATTTTCAACTGTTAAGTGCAATGGGGATGTTGCTTTCACAGATATTCTTATTGGAACCGGTGAGATTGAATAAGCACTTATCGCTATCATCGCCATCCTGAAACAGGCTGATATTAGGCGATGCAATAGCAAGTGCACGACATAGCTCGCTCATCGCGCGGCGCAACAGCGGCTGACCAATGCTTGTTTTAATCATCGCTTGTGACTGAGATAATTCAGCAACAAGCTCTTCAGTGTTCTCTGTACAAACCTTTTTCTCTCGCTTCAGTACATGAGCCGGCAGGTAAGCACTAAGCTGTTTTCTGAAATTTAGGAAATACTTAATTTAGTATTAGCAGAAAATATACATTATACATTATATAATACAAAATTATTTTATGAGTCATTAATAATAAGCAATTGCAATCCCTTAAATCATAGTTTCTCAATCTTTTATACCACATAAAAATGATTGGTGAACCATCGGGTTTGGAATAAATAATTAATATTTATTTAATTGATTTGTTTAATATCAAAGACTTACATCTGTAATCGTTAAAATGTTAAGAAAAAACCAATTTTCTGAAGTATAGTTTTAATTTAAACCAATTCTAATGATTTTTTTTTATTCAAATACAACATACTTAAATAAAATCATTAGAAACAGTTTGAGTTGAATCTATAAAACAAAAATTGACTTTTTAAATCAAAATAAATACATTTTGAATAATAGAATGCAGTATACTAATATAAAAAATAACTTAAAGTAAATTTTCTTAAAATAAACACAACACTATTGTACTAAAATTAAAACGCGGACCACAGATTGGGAAATTATGCTTTAAACAATTATTTATACTATAATCTGATTTCATTCATCCATTTCACTGCAATTTAAAAAGTTTTATACATAGTCCCTTTTTTTTTAAAGGTACAGATGCATATTAGGGCCGATGAAAACACAGAGAGTGTTTCCACAATACATATATAAAATTCAGGAAAGAGTGTAAAACCATCACAGCCATTTCTTTTAAATATACACTAGGCAGCTGACATTACAAATTGGTTATAAAATAAAGGATTCATATTTTAATCCACATTAATTGAACAGTTGTTTCATAGACAGTACATGTGTAATTTTTTTAATAATCTTTCTTAAGTTGAAATTTTTCGGAACATTGTTAATGGAAACATCTTTTAATGCAAGAAAATACACAATATATAATGTAAAGATTGATTGATTATGTTATACATTTTTAATAGATCTTTATCAATTAACATAAATTTATGTTTAAAATATTTTATTAATTGTGTGTGGTTTTCAAAACTGTTAAAATGTACTGTTTCTGAAATAACTGATTCAATAATTTCATAAAGATCAAAATATAAAATTTAAAAAATAGATGCAGATATTAAAAGCTTAGAAGTATCATGCAAGTCTTATTAATTTTCATGAAACATAAAAAATAAAACGTATTGAATTCTGTGGAAACAATAGCAGTATTCTGAAAAAAAAATCATTTAAATAAAATTTACTTGTGCAAACGAGTTGACAGTTTTTTAAAAGTATTTATGAATTTGAATTTAAAAACCATATTTTCTTAAGTTTTTATGGTCATATTATTTTATTTTTAAGTAGATGAAAAGATAAGATCAGGTGGACAGAGATCCGAATTCTTATAAAGTTTAGAATTGCAAACTGCTTAGTTCGCATTTAATAAATTGATCTATTTGAACGAAATTTGATAACTTGAAATCTTTCATGTGTTTTAGTTATTTAAATAAAAATAGAGTGATAGTTACATTGCCACAAAAAAAAATATAAAAAAAAAAAATAAATGTTTGGCCATAATAAAAACAGCAATAGAACATAGAGAATGACATAATGTTATAATAATCCTAAAACAACTATAATAAGAAACTTATTGATAAAAAACTTACCTCTTAACATGTCTAGCTTCTATCTTCATCGAGTCCTTAATCATCTTGATCGCTGAAGCCTGTCGATGTACTGAAAATAATACTAATATCCTATTAGATTAGAGGAGGCAGAAAAATTTGTGGATATTATATATAAATTATGGGTTGATGGTTGACTGTAGATAATAATTGAAAAGAAGGATGGTTGATAAAAAATGGCAAAAATAAATAATAATATTTATTTTTGCCATTTTTTATTTTACTGGTCACACCAACCATCCTTCTCTCCAATAAATTATGAATATTAAATTTAATTTAATTATTTATTTAATTAAATTAACCCATCATGTACAATTAAACTTTAATTAATTCTCTTAAACTTAATCGTGTATATCATAGTTTAGTCCATTACTTTTGTAAAATTAACTGCTATTAATATATCATAGAAATCACTCAATATTTTCAAAAATCTTAAAATAATAATAATTTTAAGTTATTTTTTCTTTTTAATAAGAAGTTGTATTCCTAAACCCATCCTTCAACGCTCTTAATAATAACAATAAATTTGATGTCAAAAATGCTACGGGATTGAGAAAGAAATAATTAAAAATATCCAATATAATATAAAAGATGTAGAAATTATAAGTTTAGATGCTGAATCACTTTTTACTAATATACGATTAGATGAATGTATAAAAATTATAGATAACAATTGGGATAGCGTAAAAAATGAAACCAAAATTAAAGATAAAAGAATATTCATCAAAGGAATAAATCAATGAACAAGAAATAACAATTTCAAATATAATAATAAATTTTATAAACAACTTTGGGGAGTCGGGATGGAAAGTCAGCGAATTTAAGTGGCATATTTTTAAACAAACTGATCACAACACAACTATCTAACTTAGAACAAAAACAATTGTTAATCAAAAAATACATAGATGACTTGCTACTTATAATAAAAAAAGATTCGGAAAATGAAATACTGGAAAGCTTCAACCAATATAACAAAAGAATCAGATTTACAACAGAAAAAGCCACAAACAACAGACTCAGATTTTTGGACATGGACATTATTTTGGACAAAGGACAGATACTTACTTACTAAACGGACAAAAAAAGAGAAAACCAGTAATAGAATCGTTAACTTTAGCTCAAACCATCCCAAATATCAAATAATTAATACAGCCAAGAACCTAATAAATAAAGCAATAGAACTTACTGACAAATCTTTCATTCCACAAATAAAAACAGAAATATACAAAATACTTATTGACAATTTTTACCCTGTAAACTTAATCAACAAGCTTTGGTACAGTCGATTACATACAACACTAAACCATAATGATAATAAAACCAAAAAACACCAAAAGAAAACATTATAATAAAGAACCCTACACAACAATTCATCACCCAATTTTTAAAAAACAAAACAAATTCAACAAACAAGGAACAATCAGGACAACATGTCACAAACAATCAAAATGGACTTTGACTACAACTAAAAAATGACATACATACCTGAACTTACTAACAAAATTAAAAACGTGTTTAAAAATTATGACATAACAGAAATCCAACTTGGGCAATATAATAATAGTAAACTGAGCAGACACATCACCGATACAAAGGTAAAATAGACTTAATAAACGAGAAAAATGTAATTTATAAATAAAATTGTCAAAACTGCCCCAAAACCTATATTGGTGAAACATCCAAACACTTAGGGACCAGAATTTCACAACACATTACTAACTGTAAAAATACAAAAAACATAAACACAACAGCTTTAGCACATAACCAAAAAACAACAATAGAAAATTACTTGAACCCATACACATCACAAAAAACAATAGAACAGTAAATTATAAAACAGACACCAAACATTTAGGGACACATTATGCAGACATATTAAACAAAATTAAAATATAAATTGCAGCTACATAAAAAATAAATGTTTAACAACAATAGTATAAAAATAAATAGTCATATCCAAAGGTCTTGTATTCACCATGGCAGATGGTGACCAGAAATAAATGGTCTAAAGGCATGATGATGCTCTGGATATTATATACTTTACTTTATTATAACATGAATTTAGAACCTGACAATGGAGCACATTAGATTCAAGATAACAACTCAATTCTGACATGTATTGTAACATGCATTATATTTCAACTCAATTTTTAGCCATGAATCAAAGAAAAACATTGGGATTGTAGTTCTGAAGATGGGAATAAATATCCCAAAACATTAACATGTAATGCGGAAATACAACAAATAAATCAATTGTTGTTTAATGGAAGTCATTATTGCCAAAAACAAAAAATAATTTTAAGCTGCTGGTAACATAATACAAAATAAGATTAATGAATTTGCTTGAAAGCACTATATTTCACAGAGCAAATGATTACTAGGCCAAAAAAAGCAGCAAATCAATTACTACAATAAACATCAGAAAAACTTTGTTTATCCGTAACTTTTTAACCAAGGAGAAGAGTAAAAACTGAAAAAAGTTGGATTTTTATCCCATGATATTGACTATTTCAAATAAGAAAAAAACAAAAAATATAAAAATGATAACTATTCACTAAATGATTTCTAAGAAAATTTTTAACTAATAAATTCCAATGAAATGCAAACACACTGACATCCCCTGCGTCAAAAGGGGAATGAACGCAATCCGATGCAGACCCTACTGCCCTGCAAGATCCGGAATATTGCTGCGCTTAAAGCTCGTATCCAAAAGAGACGAAAATAAAAGTTTATTTTCATTTCAGTTTAATACCACTCATATATCACTCAAATACAAGTTTTCTAATGTAAATTCTTTTTCAAAAAACTGTTTTTATAGTTTAAACAAATTTAGTTAATGTTTATACAAAAATTCGTCTATTCGCTATTACTAAAGTTTTATTGTACTTTCGAAAAATATCGATATGGAGTATAATAAAATCAAATTTAAAAATTCAACTTATGTATCTTGGGAGTAAATTAGTATATAAAGGGTTAAAATTATAAACTATAATAATTCTATAAAACGATTTTTAAGAATGCATGACGCTAATGACATAATAATTAAATGTCAATAAAAAAATAGTAAAATCAATAAAAAAAATTGGAGTCATGCTTCAGGATCTTGACTCTGAATTTTAAAATGCATTCTTTATGACCGACTAAATTAAAATGCATTCTTTATGACCGACTAAATAATGCATTGACAAAAATAAAAAATTCTCAATGCAATTTAAGTATAATTTTAGCTGCCTTTTATTATCACCCAAATCTTGTACTAATCACATCTATAAAAGGATAAAAAATGTGCTAAGTGATTGGTATGATTTTTTCTTTTCAACTGCTTTATATTTATGATTGTTAAATTTTAAATTATATATACAATACAGAATTTTTTAATGATAATATTGAATAATATTATCAGTATTCTTTAATATTATCGTATTAAATCATCCTTAAACGAGGGGGCCGAGGAGATTTTGAAGACAACACAGATAAAGGCGAGCAAGGAATGGTACGATGAGGAATGCGACCGGACACTTCGGGACAGAAAAGAAGAGAGATTGAGAATGCTTACTGTGGGTACAAGAAGAAGTAGGCAGGAGTATATCTCAATGAGAAGGATCGCAAAGAAGATACATATACATGTAGGCAGAAGAAGAGAAATTTTGAAAAAAGTAAACTCGAAATACTTTATTAAAGCGATTTTGATTCAAAACTAAAATCGCAGAAAATTCTACAAAGGGGTGAAGGAATTCAAGAATAGTTTTCAACCCAAAATGACAATATACAATAATAAGAAAGGTGAACTTATTAGCGGTCCATCAAAAATCTTGGAGATGTGGCGAGTATATTTTAATGATTTGTTAAATGTTGAGCAACCAATCCCAAGCAGTGTAGTGCGAAAATGCCCTAGAGTAGGACAGGAGGAAGTTAACAACAGTGATGTAGAGCCTCCAGATTATGAAGATATTTTAGATGTAATAGCCGCATTGAAGAATAATAGATGTCCTGTTCTGGTTAGTATAGATGCAGAGATAAGAAAGAATTGCGGAGAGCCTTTGTTAAGAGAGATCTACAACCTGATGATGGAAGTCTGGATAATGGAACACTGCTATCATATGCCCTGTTTTCAAAAAAAGAGAAAAAACAAACTGCGACAATTATAGAGGCATTTCATTGTTAAATACAGTATACAAAGTATTTGCAGTTCTTTTGAATAAAAAAGTTCAATTTTGGTACCAGAAGGTTTTAGGTAAATACCAGTGTGGTTTTAGACCTGGTAAATCAACTACAGATCACATTTTCTCGATAAGGCAAATGTTAGAAAAAACATGCGAATACCAAATGGACTTACATCATGTTTTCATAGATTTTAAACAGGCATATGAAAGTATAAGCAGAGAAAAATTACTGAAGGCAATGAAAAAATTAGGGAATCCACAAAACTGGTCAGTTTGACAAGAATGACCCCTAAGCGGTAGTAGATCAGTTGTGAAAATTAATGGCCAATTGTTGGAGGATTTCGAGGTTACTTTAAAAGATGGGCTTAGGCAAGGAGATCCTTTATCCCCTATCCTATTTAATATTGCTTTGGAGTATGCAATAAGGGCGATCCGGACATATCCTGGTTGCACGATTTATAATAGAATGACAGTATCTGGCTTATCCTGATGATGTTGTAATAACGGCAAAAAATAAAACATTAGCAGGGATATTAGAAGAATTAAAAACTGCAACTAAAGAACTAGGGCTTCAAATAAACAAACAGAAGACTGTTTACATGCAAACGTCAAAAAAGCTAAGTGAAACAGTCGAATGTGTCACAATTGGTAATCACACCCTAAAATTGGCCGAAAATTTTAAATATTTGGGAGCACTAGTCACAGAAAACAATGAAATGGTAGAAGAATTAAAAGCAAGGATGTCTGCCGGGAATAAGTGCTGTTTTGCATTGCGAAAAATATTGAATTACAGATCTCTTTCTCACAGAACAAAGATCACGGTGTATGAGAGAGTCATCAGACCCATCGTCACCTATGGCTCTGAGACTTGGGTGATCTCTAAAGCATCGGAAAAAAGGCTACTCGCATGGGAGAGAAGGGTTCTCAGCAGGATCTATGGCCCAGTGTGCGAACAAGAACAATGGAGAATTTGCACTAATAAAGAACTATATGAAAAGTATGTGAGGCCGGATTTGGTCTCAATTGTGAGGGAAAACCAGATCAGATGGTTGGGCCATGTGGCGCTTATGCACCAAGACGCGATTCCCAAACGCTTGCTAGAGGATCGGCCTGCTGCAAAACGTGGAAGGGGAAGATCACGCCTGAGATGAGTGGACCAGGTAGAGGACAGCCTGAAAAGGATAGAATTCGAAGATGGAGAATGCTCACTCGGGATAGAGGAGAGTGGCGAAGGATAATAAGAGAGGCCCAGGTTCTTACGGGACCGTAGCACCAAGAATAAATAAATAAACTATTACATTCTGTCTCAATCAAAAGTAATGGTTATAGTAGAGACCGGATTTCCATGTTATTGCACATTTTAATGGCTTCTGTCTAGCAATTCCGGACCCGAATATCTATCCGTTTCAGGATATCCAGAATAACCTATTTAAATTTTGTATTGCACATTTTGCTGTTTTTGGCACAAATTGCACATTTTTGCACTTAGTTGATTTATAAATACAGAGTATATGAGCGAGTTAATGTTTTTATTTTAATATATTTTTAAAATTAAATTTATTACTTTTATTATCTCATAAAAAAATATGATGAAGGTAAATAATTCTGTGACAAGCAAAAATTGAATTTAATACTACAAAAGAAAGAAGTAAACACTAGTGAAAAATATTCTTGGTATAGAACTTTCCTGAAGTATTGGATGATAAAAAGCTCATTTCCTACAATAAGCTGTTTTGTTAGTAAGACATTTATTATTATTGTTTTGACTTGAAATCTGACTCATTCGTTCAGCCCTTCAGTATCCCTTCTGGCTTTGAATTAGTTTGTAGTAACTTCATTATTATAAAAAATAATAATAATAATAATAATACTGAAAGTAAAATCTAGTTTCTTAAAAATTGTTTAAATTTTAATTAAAAAGTTATGTGCTGTATGTTAGAAATTTTACTTGTTTAAAAAATAAAGTTTTCATTATTATTTTTAATAAAAATTAAATATCTAAAATTGGTCTGTAATTAATTCCTCCCATCATTCTTTTCTTCAAACCTTCAATTTTCTACATTACATTATTTTATTCCTTGTATGTCATACGATAGACAAAAAAACCAATTTCAGGACAATTCAAACAAATATATTCGATTATTTGTCTGTTAATTATTGAGACCTTATTCTGTAGGGAGAAAAATTAATTTTTCATCCCTTTCATCCAAGTGTTTTGCTTTTTATCTTGAATTTTTTGTTGTTAAATGATAGAAAAGTGTATTGAGTCAATCTAAATTTATATAATCCTTATTATTGTTTAAATTTCTCTTTCTTTAAGGTTTAGCTTAATTGTAATTTATGTCATATATTGTTGTAATTTGTTGATTATAATCCAGAATTTCATTTTCCATGTTACATTTCATTTTTTTTTTTATAAATCTTTAATCTCTCGTTAACACAAGATCTTATAAAATTTTAACATATTAATATTATAAATTAAACAATATTGATGATTTTGTGTGTTCTAAGGTGTTAATTACACAATTACGTATTTTGGGTTTGTTGAGGAGAGGGGGAGAGAACCACTGCATGATTTTGCACTTTTTCCGGTTTTTGCTGCACGTTTTTCAGATTTTATTTGCATGAACATTCGGTCTCTATTTATAGTGGTAGAACACATCCACACCAATATTACAGAAAATTTAAATAAATTTAGTAATAGCAATTGAATGAATAAGAATATGCACAAATAAACACAAAATGAATAACAAGTATGTTAAACTCTTGCATACTTAAACATATTGTTTAAAATCAGCCAAGAGAACAACCAATCATGCTTGTTGCCCCACCTGTGGAAAGAAAAGCAGTACTCCACAAGATTCCAAAGCTTTATTAACTAAATCACTGGTCTTAAAAGCCAGGAGGTTGAGCGAGGGTACTATAGAAACTACATTTACAGCAATAGATACTCATAACTTGAGGCGAGGATCTGGCTATTTCCACAACTCCAATATAGTAACGATATGATTTTAAAAAAATAAATAAATAATATGAGGAGTTGATGGGGGGAGGGGTGCGGTCAAATAAATACTAAATTATAGAAACAGTAGTATTATCAGACCTAACCACATACGCTCCTTTCCTTCTTCCCGTGACCTTATTCTTCTTAAAATCCATTTTAATCAATACATCAGAAACCTCTTACACTCTAAACAAATCATCTCAATACCCTACTTATAGAAACCTCATATCTTTTAACTCCGTGGCTCCCCATTTCTATGGTCTTCCAAAAATTCACAAACCTGGCACTTCCCTCCGTCCTATCACTTCTAATATTAACTCTCCCTTTTTAAAACTAAGCGAATTTCTACTTCCATCCATGCAAATCCTTAGTCATCGCAACCTATATGATATCCACAACTTTTATCTACGTAATCTGTTATTATCTCTAGCCATTCCTGAGATAATAACAGGAAACTACATTCTAGTCTCCTTCGAAGTTAAAAGCCTCTTCACAAACATCCCTATAGATAAAGCCCTTCTTATAGTAGAAAAAAACTGGTCATCCTTAGAGTCTTATACCTCTCTCAACCGTTCCTTATTTATTGAATCCCTACAACTTTGTTGCAAATCCGGTTATCTCATGTTCCGTGGACAAGTTTACAACCAAATTGCAGAACTAGCTATAGGTAACATGCTCGCACCAAACTTATCTAACATCATTCTAAGTGATCTCCTTAACACCATAGCTCCTCAGTTTCCTAATGACATATTCCTCATAAAAAAATATGTCGATCTTCTCCTTCTCAATCCTGATACTATTCCTGAAATCCTTTCCGTCTTTAACTCGTATCATCCCCACCTCTGTTTTACAGTCGAATATGAAAATAACAATTCCCTCCGTTTCCTTGATCTTCTCATTTAAAGACATCCCAACAATACTTTATCCACGGATTGGTACACAAAACTGACATACTCTGGCAGATTACTTAACTACTATTCTTAACACCCCTTTCACCAAAAACCTTATTCACCAATGTTTTTCTCTATCTGATCCTTGCCTACATGAAACAAACACAAGACGCATACAACAGATACTACTTTCTAACAACTTCCCCTTTAACACCATTAAAAAATGATAAACGATAAATGATAAAAAAAAAAATGATTACAAAAATCTGTCTCTCATCCTTCATCCCCTTCTCTAGTTCTCAAAATCTGCCCTCCATTCCTTTATTACTTTCTGATAAAATAAAAAAATCCTTACATTCCTCTATCCCCAACCTGCGGGTTGCTTATAAAAACTACAACAAACTCGCCAATATTTACTTCAACCTAAAAGACCCCATCCCTCTGCAGCATCGCTCAAATATCATATACCGCATTCCTTGCTGTACCCCCAAATGTAACTCTGCTTATATTGGAGAAACCAAAAACTAGCTTAACGAACAGGTTTTTACACTGCTAGTGTTTCAACTGCCAGACACAATGCCAAATCCCACGCCCTGACCTGCAAGGTGGGTCAAAACATCAGCATTATAATTAAATAATACTATTTCTATAATTTAGTATTTATTTTCATATCAGACTTAAACGACAAGAAGCCGCTCTAAACTTCCAATTAATTACAAAAGACTCATATTCATGACTATAATAAGGCCTATTTAGACTTACGGAATTGAGCTATGGAGCTCCACTAAACCATCAAATTCCTTTCAAAAGAATATGGTCCCGTGATCTCTTAATGTAGACATATCATTAGAGTGCTACCATTGGGTAGTTACTCAGCAAATGTTTTCACTTCATTATATCCATATGTTCAAATTTACTAGATGTATTTCTTTAATACATCTGTAAATATCATTAAGAAATAATAAAAAAAAAAAGTATTTATTTAACCGCACCCCCCGATCAACTCCTTCTCATATTATATCACAGTCAACCATCTTTGAATCATTATAAATAAATAATAATTATAATAGAAAAAGGCAATAGGTACTCACCAGAAGTGGTGAAGGACTGTATATCATAAGTGAGATCAACATTAAGGTTTTCTTGCTTCCTGAATACGATGCCAATGAACCACATCGACGTGGGCCCTTGAGATTCCCCAGGGGGTGGTGGTGGTCCAGGAAAGCACTCAGGGTTGACGTGGGCCAGGCTGATGTACTGGTTACGCTCCAGGTTGCCGACAAGGTGACGAACCTTCGACTCGATCAGCCCACACCATTCTAGCTGTTCCTCTTGGCTCCCAGACTTAGCCAGTAACACAATAAAGTGCCTGAAAGAAGTGATGGTACGTTATTTAAAAAAAAAAATTTAATTATAATTTAAAAGCACTAAATAAAAAAAAATTGTGCGGTTCACGCATTACATAACTTTCAGTTACCGCCCTATCTTCAATAGAAAAAGTAGATTGTGTGTAGAAAGTCATATGTAGAAATGTAAAAACTACAGAAAATATGACATACTCATTTGAAATAATTAATTACCATACAAAACATTGTGGCCGTGTTCAAAATATATTATTAAACAGAATGTAGATTAAAGAAATTAAGACTAATGTTAAAAAATGCTTGCCTGCCACTAGATAAATAAAAAAACATTGTAAATTAATAAGAAGTAAAAGTGAATCCTGTTAAAATAGGATAGGATTTTGTTTAAAATATTAACTTCATAAAAAAAAAAAAAAAAAAAGTTAAAGTGCATCTTTAGTCAAAATTCTGAGCTGTATCCAAAAAATTTGTTTTTCAAAAGAGTTAATATAGTAGATACATAGCCTCAACATTTAACATGAAAACCTTTTTGAAACTAATTTTATAAATAAACAACAAAATAACTGTGTACAGACAGGCGTGATTAGTTAAGTGGAGGAGGATTGGGCAAAGTCAAGTGTGCTAGGCTAATTCCGCTTTGACAGTTTCTATCCCGTCCGTCTATCCTTGAGTACTAACCCTTATTTCTCTGTTAGATATGTATCAAATTCGTTCATAATTTGTATTTATCTGTCTTATATTAGATGTTACAATCTGAAATTATTAATTACTTTAAATAAATAAAGTTAAAGGTACTTTAGATGAAGAAATTTTGGAAATTTGGTATTTAAGCTCTGTTAGAGAACATCAAAGAGAATAAAATCTACCTTTAACTAAAAATCACTTTATAATACATTGATATAATGAGTTTAATCAAAATCGTAAAGAGCCATTTTCGAGAAAATTATAAAAATGTGTAAAATCGATTATATAAAGTGCCACATCCGTTTAGACAATTTTGAAGAAAAAGTTGCTGTAAACATACCAGGCATATAAAACCTTAAATACGGAATATCAGTTTTCATTTTGTGGGACTTGGGTTATTTGGACTATATTACATATATTACCTCCTTAAAATGTTTATTTCCATTGAAAACTGTGATTCGAAAAATTTTCACGATCACAATAATTTTTCTTACTATATATTACATTTATATGTAAGTGAAAGTAAAAAATTATTTATAAGATCTAGACAGCAGTGAACAGAAAAGGTCCTATAACCCGGCACTGCCTAGACCATTCACAACTTAATATAACATAAGGAATGGTTTTTCCAGAACCCCGATGAAGCTGTTTATATATATATATATATATATATATATATATATATATATTTGATTTGTTATAAAAAGGCATTTAGTACACTTTTGATTAAAATTGGAAAAACTTGGCAAGTGCATAAAAATAACACAAACCCTCCATTACAAGCCAAAAATATTTATCTATTATTGAGTGTACAATGTTCTCATTTCACAGATAAAAAAATTATTATATTACTTGTGGAAATTTTCTAAAATGGTACTAAATAACTTAGCAATAAATTGACAATATGTAATATAAATATCCAGAAGAACACTGTTGGACTTACTTGTACTTCAGGAAAAAATTCGGCGCTTCAAATAATTTGTCCCATGAAGCCTTTCCGTTGAAAATTTCATCAGTAATCGCTAAGCCATTATTAAAAGATTCCTGGAGAATAATTCTTGTAGATGCAGAAACATTGAATGTTGAATTCTGCTGAGGGTATACAGGAGTGATAATAGGCATGAGATGGTACCTATCAGATACTGTAACCTACAATAAATATGGCAGCTTAGTAAAATATAATACGATCTCCAGATGTAAACAGATATGATCCTAAAGCATTATAGATAGATACAAAAAATTGAATTTTATTAAAACTTGTAAATAAAATAACTGTTTATTAATTTAGACAACAAAAAAATATAGACTTTTTAGCAAAATCTACAGAACTTTTAAATAAAGTTTTTAAAAAGTAAAAGTTCTTTACTGGAAAAGTTGCAAGAGAAAAAGTTTTAATTCCAAAAGAACTGAAAACTATCGAAAATAGAAGTTTTAATTCCAAAAGAACTGAAAACTATCGAAAATAGAAGTTCCAGTGATACTAAAACTTTTTATAAATAATAGTTTTTTTCCCGTTTCAAGCCCTGCGCAAAATTATTGAAGAAAATTGGAATTGATTGAAAACATCTTTTTAATTTGTTTATTTCTGTGAGACTAGTTTTAATTATTATTATTATTAATTATAGTTTTTAAATTATCGATGGTTTAAAAAAAAAAATTAAAAATTCATTAAGGTTTGTTCAGTTTCATAAAGGATTCATAAAGTTTTAATTAAACTAGATTATACATTATCTGTTGGTAATTCCAGTTATCCATTTATACTTCTTTGGTTTTGCTTAAACTTACTTAATTATTATTCACATAAGTATGCTTAGATATTAGTTTCTAATATAACATTTATGCGAGTTATTCTTCTGTTATGCTTTAATTTATTCATTTTTAGAACATACAATTTACTTTGAACTCCTATAACAATTCTTAAGTTATTTGAACAATTTTTCTTTATATGTGAGAAAGTTTCATCATTTATTATTAATGTAAACTGTTTTACCCAAAAGTCTTGCTTCATTACGAAAATAAACTACAAACTGATTTAAAATTCCTTGATCTATCCCTATAGCAAGTCAATTTCTTATATGAGGTGAAATCTTATTTTAGAAGAGAAATAAAAAAATAAAAAACCCTCAACGCACATTCCGGCAAGTAAAGTAAAAATAACTGAATCATAATTAGGTATAGATTAAAAGTAATATAAAACTAACTTACCCTGGGATCCCAAACAGGAAATCCAAGATTGACCTGATCCGGTTGTTTCAGCAGAACAGGCTGTGGCCACTTCCATTGGGAAAAAACTAAAAAAAATTTGTGAACTAACGTGGCTGCAACAGCGTTAGGATATAACTGGCATGTTCGAGCTACGAGCATCGCCCAGCTCACTCCACCCAAGTAACCCATCACGTTACTATAAACGCCATGTTCTATAAAAAATTTAAAAAATAAAATAAATCAATAAGATTCTAAGAGTGGCCAAAGAGAGTGAGAGTTAATTTTGATAACTTACTTTTAGCCCACAGCTTTATAGTTCTAAGGGTGAGACGAAAATTTTCTATATCAGGTACTAACCGCAGGATCTCGTCAGTAACCCTGCAACCATTTAGGCTTCTAACACATTTCTGATCAAGATTTTTGAGCAACAAATCATCTTTCAGGTCCTGAAATTATAATTTTGTTCAATTTATCTATTTTATTAACTAAAATAATGAATTAAAAGTTAAGTCGTGATAGGTACCATTGAATCCGGAATTTCTTTAAGAGCCAGCCTGGCAAACAGCATATCAATTTCGATCCCGTCGAAATTCATTTTTATCACAGGAACAAACGCTTCTTCCACAGCCTGAAAATGAATTACAGTCAATTTTGAACAGTCTTAAGGCTGGTTTACAAGGTTAGGTTTTATAACATAATAATTGCAGTTAAAACTGTTTTATCATAATTAATGTAAAGGCCTATTCATATTTTTATTTATTTTATATTTGCAATGATGTACTTTACATTTTAAATAACAAAATTATCACTTGTAAAGATTTTTTTTTTTCATATTAGCATAGCATCATATTATTATATTAATATGAATTATCATATATCACAATTGGTATATCAAACACCTTTTTCTGTAATTGTGTAGTATTATTATAAGGCTAACAATAATTGTAAATTGTTCTACATTTTGTTGTGCGCACCAATTATTTGTTATTCATTACAATAACACTACGCTCAATTTCAATTCCAGTTTCATTGCATACTTTCTTTACAATTACTCATTAATTGTAAGTTTGTAATTATTAATGTAAATTTGTAATTATATTTGGTAAAATATTTAAAAAATGCATTAAAACAAAATATGGCATTACAAAATAGTGCTAACAAATGTGCGCTTTGCTTTTAATTAATCACTTAAGCCTTGTTTCCATAACAATGTTTGAAATGGTAGTGCTGTCAAAACAACAAATTAATGCCCTTGTCTAGATATTAATAGTTGGGAGTTGGGTTAATGGTGGGTATAGAACCACTGATGACTATTTTAGTAATAGCATCTTATTTATAAAAAAATTAAAGATTTATGTAATAAACAAATTTATATGGAAACTTAGTTGATAATAAATGCTAAAAACGTTTAATATAATCAATTTGAATTACAAAAGTAATAGAAACACAATGTATAAAATGTTTTTCCCGCAAAATCATAGTAGATTAGGAAAGATAAAATGAGACAGTTCATTGATATTTGAGACATGGCAGTTAAAGGGACAATAGTTATAAACCTCCATAACAGATACTGTCAACCTAAATCTCTAAAACCTAACGTAGTACTACTGAGAAAATAAACATCGTTGTTGTATGTACATGATGGAAATAACTATGACAGTTGCAGTCATAGCTTAATTAAAATACATGCAAAATTGAATACCATAGTAACCACAAACATTTTAAATAATTTAAAATGAACAGAACTTGATTCATTACATGTTTATACATAGGATAAATTTGATTTAATAATTAATTAATAAGGATAAAAAAAAACTCACCCTCAAGTCTGTTACTTCAGGATGTGACTTAAGTATTTCGAAGAATGTTGTGAAATAATCAGACCTGTCGATATGCCTAGGTGCAACACAGAGAGCATCAATATCAGCACCCTTATGATGGACGCCGAGGCGGTAAGAGCCAAAGGTGTAGATCTTGCCACCGACGGAATTAGCGACACTTTCGGGCATGTTTCGGCTAATGCTAACCTCTCGAATCCATTCTTTAACTAGGCTGTTTAATTTGCTCAATATTTCCATTCTGAAAAAATTCCATATTTATTAATCTCTTAATAATCATTCATACAAGAGTAAATAAAAAAACATATATGAATTAAGATGTGGAATGGGGAAGATTTGTCTTATACTAAAGAAACAGAATTTATTAAGATAAATATGAAGCCAAAAACTAAGATAAATATGATGTAATGTTTTATGGTTATAACAAGCTAATCACAAGGGATGAGTTTGTTGGGTACACTTTTCAGCAAGATTTCATAGACACTTTCAAATGTAAGATGACAAAACTTATATATTTTAAAGTGAAAACTTTTTTAGGCATGTTTTTTGTGGAGAGTAAATTAGATTGAGTCGTCAGATCTCCGATGTGTAAAGCTCGGGTAAAGCCAGCTGGAGTCGACTAATTGAAGTGTTTTTGCATGTATGTAGATTAAAATATTTCAGAAACTAAAAACCGGACCTGCATATTGTTATCAAGGGAAATGTTCATCATTTCATCCTCTTTGTAATAAGCTATTATTCAAAATTGCATCTGTGACGCGGTTTATTAGGGAGGCAAAAAAGAAAACATTGTGCCAAAAACCAAATGTTAACGAGTTTTATTGAAGATATGGATTAAAATATCTCAGAAACTAAAAATCAGACCTGCGTACTTTAAGCAAAGGAATTGTTCAGCATTCGATCCTCTCTGTAATGAGTTATTATTCAAAATCGTATCTTAACTCGATGCTGTGTTAGAGAGGCAAACAGGAAAAAATTGTGTTAATAAATGAATTAATAAACCAAATGATGTTTTATGGAAAATATGGATTAAAATATCTAAGAAACTAAAAATCAGACCTGCATACTGTAAGCTAAGGAAATATTCAGCATTTAATCCTCTTTGTAATGAGCTATTATTTATAATTGATATTTCATATTATTAATCTCACCTTGTTCATGTTTTCACTTCTATCGTGTGGTCTAAAGCACACACCTTAGTTTTTTAATTTCACTTATTTATATATGTAATATATAGTAAGTGTAAGTATTGCAATCGTGAAAATTTTTGTATCTGAATTTTCAACAGAAATACACGTTTTGAGGTTCCCTGAGTCCAAAGAACCAAGTCCCAAAAAATGGTCTGTGTGTCTTTGAACACTCCAGCTCGAAACCGAAAAGTCGTAAGAAACTGATATTACATATTTAATAAGATAGATATATGCCTTAGATGTGACGGCAACCTTTTCCTTAAAATTGGCTAACCAGAAGTGCCACTTTATATCAACACTAAAACACATTTTCACAATTTTCTCAAAAATGGCTCTAACGATTTTGATTAAACTCGGTGTATCATTGTATAATTAAGTGGTCTTTAATATCAATCAGGTCTTATCCCCATTTATGTCACTCGACAGAGCTTAGATGCCCAATGTTCATATATGTCTTCCTCTAAAGTACCTTTAATATGGTTTATTTTATTAACATCTATAATAAAAATCATGAAATCTATGTAAATAAATTAAAAGACATACAATTGAACATATATAATGATGTTAATAAACTAATTTCGAATTACAAAAATAGTTATGTTAATTTCCATAGATTGAGATTAGAAGCGAAAAGTAAAAGACCATATAAAGCGCCCTTATTAAAAAACCATACGCTGATGTTAAATATAATAATACAGTATCCATCACCACTAAGAATTTGGACAATAGAGTCATAAATAAACATCGTATAAACCGTAATAACATAATTAAATCCTACGAAGAATTTCACACTAAAGTTTGGGTGGTTAATACTACTGAAACAAATATTGCAACAAACATATTAAACGTATTATCACTAGGGGACAAATTCAACATTATACCTAATAAATACAACCTGGAAATAGTTAATATAATTGTGGATGTCGAAAATATAATTAGAACAATTAACACACCAGATAATCATAAAAATATAATAAGAAATAGAGTAAATAACCACATAAATGATTTCATGGACAAAAATAATAATAAATAGAATATCTCAAATCAACCCATACACAATAAAATTAACAAAGACATAATAGAAACAATTTTTTTTTTTTTTAAACCATCCAGAATTAATAATCATAAAGTCAGATAAAACTAAGAAAACTGTGATTCTCACTAAGACTGAGTACGATAAAAAAATGCATAAACTACTGGATGAACACCTAATATATTAATATATGGATGTCTTAGGAAAGATCTTTCAAGTGAAATCCAGGATAAAACCTTGACTTATATAAATAAGTTAATGAAAATGAAATTTATAAATGAAAAAGTTAAAGAAAAACTTATAACTAGGCATTACACAATACCACGAATACATGGACTCAGTAAATTACATAAAAATGACAGACCCCTTAGACCAATTGTAAACAATATAAATGGCATAACAGAAAAATTAGTGAAATTCTTAAACTCAGCCTTAAACAATAATAATAGGTATGATGTGCATAATGCAATGCAAGTAAAAGAGAACATTAATAATATAAATAAGATAGATGAAAACAAAAAAATTAGTAAGCTATGACGACGAATCCTTATTTACGAATGTTCTACTTAATGAAATATACAAAATATTGGAAAAACAATGGGATGAAATAGAACCTTACACAGATATAAAAGATAAAAATGTTTTTATGGAAGGAATTAAATTAATTTCCGAAAATGGCTATTTCTTCTATAATAATAAATATTACAAAATGAAAAATGGTCTACCGATGGGCGGATGTATGTCAATCAATCTTTCGGGCATATATCTGAATAATCTAACAGATAAAGCTATAAGTAAATTGAAAAAAAAAAACCGAAGCTTATTATAAAATAAGTTGACGATATACTTGCAATAATAAATAAAAATGAATCTGTTATTTTTCTTGATAAACTAAATGATATATCTGATAAACTTAAATTTACGATGGAAATTGAAAATAATAACAAAATAAGATATCTCGACATGTATATTGACAGAAACGAAAGTGGCGATCTTAGCACGTCATGGTGCAAAAAAACAATAACCAGTAATAGAATCCTAAATTGGCACATTAACCACAAAAAAACATATAATAATTAATAGAGCTAAAATTTAATAGACAAGACAAAATTAATAACTGATAAAAATTATATGAAAGAAATCAAAGCACAAATATATGAAATTCTATTAGAAAACTGGTACCCCATTCGATTAATAAATAAATTGTGGTATAACAATAAAAAGTTAGTTATAAATGACAATAGTAGCAAACAGATAATAGATATAAACGACGATAAGAGCAAGAAAGTGAACCAAAATATTAAAATTAATAAAGAACCGAATTTAATAACAAACTATTTTGAAACGGAAAATGCAATAAAACAGAAACCTTCGATGAATGACATGCATGACATTAAGACGCAAAATGAAAAATATAATGAAAGCAGACAAGCACCAAAAATTATTTTAGCGCCTCATATATTAGAAATTTAACGGATAAAATAGAAAGAACATTTAAACAATACGATGTAAATGAAATGAAATTTGCAAGCAAGCCAATCAATAAAATAGATACAATTTATTCAAAAACTAAAGATAAGGTACCGACCGATAAATTAACGAATATTATTTATAAAATAAATAGTAAAAATTGCAACAACAAATCAGATTTTGGACAGACATCACAATGGTTTGAAAAAAGACTTAAACAACATAAACAAAATTGTAGTTCAAAAAACACAAAAATTAAATTAGCTACTGGACTCTCTCTACATACTTTGCAAACAAAGCATGAATTTGATTTCAAAAACGCCAAAATCCTACATAATGAAAGAAATACGAATAAACGTAGAATAAAGGAAGCAATATACATAACTAAAAACTTAAAAAACTCGGTAAATAATCATACGCACTTGGATACTATGAATACATTTTACGCGAGTTCAATTAAAAAATCAAAATTTGAAATAAATTAGGTTACCTAAAATAGTCCACATATAAGATTGGGAAACATCATTATATATGTTTATAATAAACAGTCTTCCTCTACTCCTATAAGAATAACGAGTCACTGAATAGAAATGAGATGAACATGTGGGTGACACATGAAAAAGGTAATTTTTAACTTATTTGAATCATTTAATAGGAAAAAAATTGAGTTATAATAATGTTGTAAAATAATTAAAGGTGGACGTGACATGAATAATACATTTTATTATGAGTAGACGCAAGCAATTCGTGTAAAGAAAAAGGACAGGTACATGATGGTTATTTTAAGTATATAAAAAGAACCTTTATATTTTGAAATATGTAAAGTTAATATATGACTGTAAATTAAAAAAAATTTTAGACTTAAAAATGGCTCGACGAGCCGAAACGTCGTAATTGTGATGTGTAATCATTAAGTTGAGAAAATTTAAAAATTGGAGTAAATTGGCTGATAATAAATAAACTTGAAGCTAAATATAACTTTCGAAAAAATTTAATAATTGAATAAAGGAGAAAAAAATAAAAATGCTTAAACAGATCGAAAATGAATCTCCTGAAATACAAGTCAGAAGTATACTTATAATATATCGTTGAAAAGCAGAGAATTGAAGAAAAAACACTATCTGATATAGAAAGTTATAGAAGGTAACGGAGAGCGGAAAACAAATTATAAATAAGAATTTTTGAAAACTGATAATATTTAACGTAAATTACATGTTTTCAAGAAAATTAAATGAAATTTACAAACTAAATGTAAACTTTACAAAATATTTTTGTTTGTAGAAAGTATTTAAATCCACCTAATCAAGGCAATGGCATTGTTAAAAAAACTATTTCATTGTACTTGCGTGAAAGAAGGAGTAAAATATAAAATCATTTCATGGATTTATAAAGCATTTGTTTATAACCTTAAATACATTTACTGTAGTTTAATGATTATAGATCTGATATTATATTTAAATAATTAGGTATCAATGTTTATTCCAAAAAATTGTCATGTAACTTTTTAGAAAATTAAATTAGTGAATAATTTGATGAATCTCCCCTTTGTGATATTCCAACAGTATCCACTACTATCACTACTATTTCATCGTACTTGTGTGAAAGTAGAAGTGAAATATAAAAATATTTCATAGATATGTTTATATCCTTAAATATATTTACTGTAGTTTAATAACTCTAGATCTGATAATATATTTAAATATTTAAGTATCTATTGTCTGTTTATTCCGAAAAACCATCGTGTAACCTTTTAGAAAATTAAATTAGTGAATAATTTGATAAATTTTTCCTTTGCGATATTCCAACAGAATCCACTTACAATTTGTGTGACAACTTTTGACCTGTCTATGACAGACAATGCAAATCTCTTAATTCCGTTTTAATAAACTTTGCAATGGAAAATAACAGTTTAATAACTAATAGTCGTACAATCCCTAATCAAAAGATCGAACAATTCATAATCAACGAATCGTAAAATCCATAATCAACCAGTGATATAATAAATAGGACTTATGATATTTTAGTAATAGTATTTATGATTTGTTAGCTGCAATCTTTTAGCTTTAGCTGAATTTAAAAAAAATTATAATAGCCCAAAATGGCCAGAAAATAATTTATATTTAAAGTTCAGAAAAGGTCAAAGAGTAAGTGAAAGTTATGTTTTGCGTGCATCAGATTTTTTTTTTATTATTAACAATATTGAATTTTCTTAAATAATTATTTCATGTTGTATATAAAGGATTAAGTAAATACAACATCCTGTTTTTTGTTTTTATACCAATAGTAGGTGAGAAATAAACTTTTTTATAAACACAAATTATTCTAAATGGCAAGCAAGAATATTAAAGATTCTTACGATGAGCATCAATGAACTAACATCTGCTGTTTAGCACTGTTACAAAACTAACTGGTACTTCATAACTATAAAAGAAGTAATGACATTTACAATATATACAATTACAGTTGTGTATAAATAAAACTGATAAAACTGACTCATCGACATCAGTATCCTACTCTCAAAATGAAACAATAGGTTTGGTTTGTTGGCGGTATCTTTTTCCCTTATTGACTACTTGACTCGGGTTTGCGGCAAGATACTAAGAGGATGAAATGTTTAACATTTCCCTTGTTTAGATTTGCAGGTTTTTAGTTTCTGAGATATTTTAATCCGAATGCAAAGATTAGTCAAAAATCAAACCGCCTATACTCGAATGAGGATTACATAGGCGAGTGTGACGGCCCAATATCATTCAATACTCATAAAACAAAATGCTAAGCCCAAAATAAAGAAGTTTTCACTTAAAAAGTAAATAAAAAAATTTAGTTAACATCTACGCTAAGTGATTATCAAAACTCTAGGCTTTATCTATTGATAAACAACTGATTTTCAATTTGATAAACAAACTGAAACTTTAGATTACCAGGTAAGAATCTATAGAATATTAAAATAGAACCATAAAACACAACAGGTTTATATGATAGGATTAAAAATTCTTTAGCAATTCACAAAAGTTTTCCCACTGGTACCAAGACCCATTTGTAATAATGGAATACACGTTTATAACAACGATAGATGTCATATGGTTTAATTCTTATTCTAGTTTATAACCAGAAAGTATAAATTTTACTTCCGTATGAATAATCAAGATCATTTTATTTATTTTAAAAATATTTTTATGTTCCTTAAAATACCTATGTTGAGTTAAAAAAAAAAAAAACTTATGTAGAGAATGAAGTGAATATATGTTGATCCACATCATTTTCTATATTAGTTATTATGTATCCATTACTATACATTATTGTTTATTATTATCTCTTCTATTATAATTATGATAATTAAATAACATAATTTTTTTTTCTGTTGGCATTACAGACCTCGTAGATCTTTTGCCGCCTTAACAAGAAAACATAATTATATCTATGTCATAAAAATTTTTCAGCTCTGATGAACTACAAGTTCGGATTGAAACTTTAGCAAAAAACAAAAAATTTACAGTCTCTTGACTATCTACCACCCATAAAAAAATATTAATGAACTAACTAATAAAACCAAATTATAATAATTAAAATAAATTAAAAACTGGTTAAGGACACTACCTGTGATTGAGTTCTTCCTCGGTTTCCATAACATTGTACGGCTTAAGCGTCTCTACAAGTTCATTAGTTTTTTGATAGTCAATGGGCTTGGGACCAGCGAGTGTAATGGCCGACGTCAGCCCTAGAGTGCGCTGTTGCTGCTGGTTCTGCTGTTGTGGAGCAGGTTGCGCTGTACCCTGCGAAGACCACATACCTTTCCTGTAAAATAATTAAATAGTATAAGTATAAATATTGATAACAATCTAATCTTAACCCTTTTTTTGTGGAGAGTTAATTAGATTAAGCCTTCAGATCTCCGATGTGTAATCAGCTATTATTCAAAATTTTATCTTAACATGACACCGTGTTAGGTGTGAGGCAAAAAGAGAAAAAATAGTGTCGAAAACACCAAATGATACCAAGTTTTATCAAAGATATAGATATCTCAGAAATTAAAAATCAGATGTAGATACTGTAATAGGAGAATTGTTGAGCATTTCATCATCTCTGTAATGGGCTATTATTCAAAATTGTATCCTAAAGTGATGCTGTGTTAGAGAGGTGAAAAAGGAAAAAATAGTGTCAAAAACTAAATTTTTGAGTTTCATTAAAGATATGGGATAACATATTTTAAACTAAAAATCGGACCTGCATTCTACAACTAAGAGAAATGTTCAGCATTTTATCTTCTTTATAATGAGATAATATTAATAATTTATATTATTAATCTCACCTTGTTCATGTTTTCACTTCTACCGTGTGGTCTAAAGCACACACCTTATTTTTTTTTATGAATGATTTAGGCGAGTTTAACAACATTTATTACACATAATACTTGCGAGATCAACTAATAATGGTTTAATTATAGAATATGAAAAAGGTTCCACAAAACATAAAATTCAAATAAATGCCACTAAATTAATCCAATAGTTTTTACTTCAGTATCAAAACATGTCTGCCTACAACAATCAACCTACGACGGTAAAATAAACTATCAACAATCAACTCCATTGAAGTTTCTTATCAACTAACAAAACTAAAAACCAATCTTAACTCACCGAGACCTATTTCGATATACAAAAAAGAGCTTTGGAGTTCAGCAAAACATGTCCAAACAATACAAAATTCTTTGAAAAATTATTACATTATAATTAATTTCAAATAACGTCATACACACTTTGAATATTTTATTCTTTAACTGATTATTGATAGAGATGAGACTAAAACTGATATATCAGAAAATGAAAATACTAAAATGTGCCAAAAAAGTAAAAATAAACTGCACAAAATACTGTTACAATAATATGAAATCAAATCTCTAAAACTTACTTCTTGATAGGTTGTTGTTCTTTACCCCTGTTGTCGAGTTTGTATCGACTCCAATTACTGCTGCCTGACATGATTAAAATCAGAGAAGAGGTTCCAAAGGACTGAGATGTGTCACTGTCAAGATGTACCAGAGTACTGGAAGACCTCCAGTCCTCCAGGTTACCAGGGGTAAGGGCAGGAGTAGGGGAAGGAGTAGGGGCAGGGGTAGGGGCAGGGGTAGGAGTATGGGACCTACCACCAGGTAATAAGGTAAAAAGTAATAAAATGTAGGCCTACCACCAGGTAATAAGTACTAAGGTAATAAAATTTAGGTAAGGGAAGGCAAAGTAAGGGACAAGGAATTGATAATAGAAGATATTAAAAGAAAATGAAAAAAAAAATATATATATATATATATATATTAAATTTGGAAAATTAAATACATTGTGTAAACAGGAAAAATATACATGAGTAGTTAAGAGAGGTATCAATAAAATATTTTTGATAATATTTTAAACAAAGTCAAAATAAAACTAAATATGGTGCTGGACTAAAATAGGATTGAAAGTTTTATCCCTTATGGCAACGAAAAAAAACCTACCAAAACATGCTCAGTGAATTGAAAAAAAAAACAAAAAAACTGAGGCTCTAAAAAAGTAAAGAAATATTACCACAACAAATGTTCTAAAAATGAATATGTTATTACATAGAAAAAGGATTTACTTAACAGGAGGCAGAACAAATAAATTTTTAAAATGTCTTTAAAATTAAATATTGTTAATTTTCAAATAAGTTTTTTTTTAAAAACCCTACCTTCAACCTGACAGAGATACTGACAACATGTGTGTCTGCTGTGTTGAAAAATAATAGTAGTAACATTGATCGGTGTGAGGGAGAGATGCGAGTGCCCAAGTGGCATCCCTTCATATCTCGATTATTTTTATTGAATATTTAATAGTTGACCGTTGCATCATTCAGGAAGGAGATGGACCGGATTGGTGGTCAGTAGCAAAACTATTTTATTAAAAGCCAACGTTTCAACCCAACAAGATACAAAAAGATATAGAGAATTGTGGAAGTTACATCATATTTAGAAAAAAAATTATAACCAATGTGAATAAACTTATTAAAATTATGAACAGTAAGTACATTAGAATATTAAGAACAATAAGTTGTATAAACAGAGTAATCTAAGTGATCTTAAACCGAAGAAAATAGATGGTAACAATTGTTGTAATATAATATATGCAATTGTGAATATACTTCTACAGATCTACAGAAGAGATTGGAAGAAAAGAAAAAAGGATATAATATGAAATAGTGGACATAAAGAGATGTGGAGAAAGAGAAGACAAATTCTTCCAATCTCTCCTGTAGATCTGTAGGAGTATATTCACAATTGCATATATTATGTTTTATTATACTACAACAATTAGTACCATCTACTTACTTCAGCTTAGGATCTTGTTAATTAGCTTACTCTGTTTATACAACTTATTGTTCTTAATATTTTAATGTACTTACTGTTTATAATTTTAATAAGTTCATTCACATTGTTTATAATTTTTATCTAAATATGATGTAACTTTCACAATTCTCTATATCTTTTTGTATCTTGTCCATTCCAGCCCTGAAGAAGGCCAGCAAAGTCGGGTCGAAACTTTGGCTTTTAATAAAATAGTTTAGCCACTATTTAGCCTATTTATGAACGCCACTCCGGACCATCATCTTCCTTGATTATTTTTAGAAAGGAGATTTCTCATCCAGCAGGTAAGTATTTCAAATGAAATATTTAGAACACAAAATGTACAGTTTTTTTTTTATTGTACATTTTAAGAAGTCAAATATAAAATAAATTGTTTGTAACTGTATTTTCTATTGAATATAAAAAATGTATTTGCATTTTCCTTTTACATATATATATTGTTTTAATAATGAACAAAATACAAACATATTTTTTTATATTTTCACCAGAAAATACAGTTAAATAATATATTATACTTTTCTTCTTAAAATGTAGAGTATAAGAAAAATAAATGGAAATTTTGTATTAAAAAGCTGTATGGATTTAAAATAACAACTAGGTGATGTTATAGAGGAATAAACATTTTTTTTTTAATAAAGGAATATTCCTAACATTCAAAAATTTAATAACAACAGTTTTAGAAGTTCAATTATGTAGAAAAGGTTCCCAAAGTAATAATAAAACAAGGGACAATCAGGTAGGCAAAACTGAAACAGGATTTAACAGGTCATTCCTGGAATACCTACTTCCTTCAACACCAGCTTATTTAAATGTCAGCTAGAACTTATTTAATAATATTTATATTTATTTTTAATATTTTATATAAAATGAAATATATAATCGATGACTAAGTGAGGTTATAAAGAAATACCAATTTTCATGATGGATAAAGGAATATATGCAACGCATACAATGATTACATACTAAGATATGACATGATTAAATGATTAGATACTAAAACACTATGATTTTGTTAATACAATATATTTGAACAGCTTATTTCAATACATTTCTATGTTCATGGTGTGTTTCTATGAATGATAGATATTAAACCTTATTATTTTCTATTTACTTCTTTGTAAAATTCTTCAACTTAATACTCTATATCTATGCTTATAGATATATAGTTAGCCTGTGTGAATAAATCGTAAATAATATTAGTCAGTGAACAAATGACAATATTATAAATAAATAAATAATTTGTCATAGTTTAAGAAGAAGGAATCATCTCATATTTTTTTCGATAAATGTAATCAACCAAGGAGAAAAAATATATAAAACTCCCTTCATGTTTTAAATCAAAATGGTTTTTAAGTACAATAGAATTAATTTTTTTTTTTTTTTTGGAAATCTTTCAAATAATTGTGGGTGCAATCAAGTTTACGAGGCCCTAAATCCCTGCTAATTTTTGTGTGGATAGGTGGAAGTATGTTGAAGTTATCACACTTTGTAAAAAAAAAAAAAAATACAATCCTAGGAGTGCTATGGCTCCGATTCAGATTTGGAAATTTTCTTCCAAGGAAAACTGTTTGCTCTTTCATATTCTTATAACAGAAATATGACTTTAATGCTAAGAGTAGGGAGTGACAGTATTAGCAAACGATAGATGCCTATTTATTGTTTAAATTTTATTTTTCATTATATTTTTAGTTAATGTGGGTGAAATTCATTGGCTAACGAGCATTCATTTATTTTTGTATTTATTCATTTAAATAAATTGTATTTAATTTCGTTATAAAAAATAAAATATTTAATTAAAATATATCTTTAGTTTATTGCAAAAAGTCACTGAGTATATTTTTGCATTGAAACATATTTTTGCAATATAAAAATAAAAAAATAAATTATGACAAAAAAAATAGAGTGTGAATATGAGATAAACAAAATCTTCTTTCTTACAGTTTATCAAGTTACATAAATTAACTGAATGTTTTCTTGGTAATACCATAGCGTAAGATGATATAAAGAGTTCAGTACTTGATGGAGTCCTTAAATTGTCCATAACTTTAAATCTGACCTGGGCCCAATATTTGGGTTTAATTACATTATTAATTGAATATTTTATTCTCTCACAACACTAAAACGTACGAATGAGAAATCATAATAAAGAATACTTTACCAAAAGAACATCTTTTTATTAGCTTATACATTAGGTTTAGTTTAGATTGTACATTAGGTAAATAAATTGATAAAAAAAATCAACATGTGTTGTCAAACTAATTTTTTTCTCCATTCATTCAAATTATTAGTGCTTTTAGTCATAAGAAACTCATGAATGCATTTAGCAGTAGTACTTATAAATCCATAAGCCCACAAAAAAAATAAATAAATTAAAATTCAACATATAAAAACTTTAAAAACAATTGTACCCTACATCACAGAAAAC